CCCGACCCAGGCGCCCTCCCCATTGAAGATGCGACGGTCGCGCCAGGCCCCAGCGGCGCAGGCGCTATCGCCGATGATTTCGAGGAGGAGAGGAAAAACAATCTAAAAGCAGGGCATGCGTGTTGCGAATGTTGGAGGTTGGCGGGGTCTTCGGGGACATCGTGGCAATTCGTGCGTGCATAGAGCCTCTTCGGGACCTCATGGACACGGTGTTGTCAACCGCTGGTCAGACATGGGATTTGAAGCAGGAGACGCCAGAGATCGATCACATGAGTCGCACTGAAGGTGAGGGACAGGGTCGCGCGTACAGGCTCCTTCAGCTTGCAGATAACATCCCCTTCGAAAGCCCGATGTCCATGACGTGGGAGTTTATGTTTGGAGGTCGTCGGGGCCAGGTAACCCAAATCAGTTGTCCAAGGTGAGCTTTCAGGCCAGATGGTCCTGCGCTGCGTGGGACTCGTTCGACTTCCCCCCCTGGACCTTCCCAAATTTCCCTCTCTGACCCGCCCCGCCGCGAATTTCCCACCGGCCTCAAACTATTTTTTTGGCAGGGGTGGGCTTGTCATTCTCATGGTTTTCGCCTGCGTTTGCCTTGTCAGAAGCCCCGTTGGAATTTATCCAGGTGCCCCTCAGACCCGCCCGAGAAGACGCGCATTCCGTAGCGCCCCCCCCCCGCCGAGCCCCTGGCCCCAGGAGGGATGGTGAAAGCCGTGTGGGGCGGAAACAATTGTTTACGAACATTTCAAATGGCGAGTTTGTTTTCGGTTGTTTGCCTTCGGAGGTCAGTTCAAGTTGATCCCCGTGTCTGACCAGGTGGCTACTTTGAGGAATAAGTTATTCTCCACGTTGTCGTCTCTCGCTTGCCATTTGCACTTGATCATGTCAGAGAATTCGAACTACCCGCTGAAAGTGATACGTCTGTGGAGCAATGATAAGCTCGGGGATCTTGCGCACGAGAACCCATGCAGGTTCGACCCGTGGACCTCTAAATTCGTTAATCATTACAAGGGCAATGTAGAGGAGATGGGTGCAGAGATCATGTCGACCCTCATCTTGGGCCTGGTTGATAATGCACCGTGCGAGGCAAACCATGCATCTATCAGGCGGCTCCTCCACATTCTCGGCGTTCAGACGCATCGTGTCAATTTGAGCAATGCTAGCGCGAAGTGGTTGATTCGAAAGCTAAGCAAGCACCAGTGTACATTGGATGAATACAACAAGCGTGAAAACCCTACTTCTGTGAGAAAGCGAGGAAAGACTTCTGGGGGCACAGGTGGGCCTTGGAGGGCCTTCGTCAGAGCGCTAACGAGGGGCTGCAGCGGTCTTCCCGACGTGAAGCACATGGGGGAACTTTACAGAGAGATGAAAAGCAACAACCCCACCGAGTTTGAAACATATGTGGAGCAGGGTGCTGCAGCTACTGAGAGGGGTCGTGATCCTGAGGGCGGTGCCCCGTTTGGCCCGACAACCAGGCAATCCAAACGATCATCTAAGAAAAGAAAGTTTGAGGCAGACTTAATGCACATGCTCCTTGACAGGACGAGTGGTCGGGGAAGCGACGCAGACGTCGAAGATTGTGTTGCCCCGCCGCCAGTCGTTACTGATTTCTCGATCGCCGTGCCAAGCCAAGATTCCATGATTGATACGTCATCGCTGAGGCATCGTTTGCGGGTTGCTTCAGCGGCAGACAGGGAAGTCAAGAGACAGGAGGAATCTATGAGGTCTGAGTTTGCCATGGCCGACGGCATGGGCGCGGGTATTCTGAATAACATATGTGCGACTCCTTCCTCTCGCCATCGTCGATGCCAGTTTGAACCACATGCGACTCCCGACTGGATGAGACACGTGCACTGGCGTCCTGTGGGTTTGACTGGCAAAGTCAAGAATGCATTATCTTTTAATCATGCTCAGGTGGCGCGTGAGCTTGCAGCAGATCTGGACAAGTGCAGCTCATTTTGCCACAGGACAATTCCTCATTCTAAAAAGCCAGGTATGAACTCCAAGCCGTTCGACCACGCGTGCTGGTCAGCGAACGTGTGTCTCTGCGGCAGCTCTGGGAAACAAGTGAAAACAGTCAGGGACAACATCGCGAAAGCTTTCAGGGCGAGCTTCCCCCCGCATTCGAAGGAGCGGAACCTGCTCAGTAACTTCCACGTGTTTGCATTGTTCTTGGGTGTGAAAGCGTCTAAACCCAAAGAGAAAGCCGTGGCGACCCCGAGTGAGATCGACGCCGATTGGGTCCACGTTGGCGCCATCAACCTTATCACGATTAATTGGGCGTGCCATGTGATGAAATGCGGTGAACCCGACGAGGCGCCACCGTCAGACCCTTCGAATGCACCGAGACATGTCATTGTCCAGGGGACTCGGCAGTGCTTGACGATTTGGGAATACTGCTCTCAGAAATTGGATTTCCAAAAGAAGTACACCGTCATATTCTATTCTCTGGAATTCTCCGACCGACCCGTTGCGTTCTCTCCAGACAGGGCCAGCATTGAACTATTGGGCGAAGGCGGCCGCCACGTTGGGGATGGGAAGCCAGGTAAGAAAGGGTCGGCAGGGCCTTTGAAAAAGTGGAAGGCCATTGTTGATGAGGCAGACGCTGCTGATCCAGATGATCCTCCTCCCCCCGAGGAGGGCCACGGTGCTGGCGCCCCAGGTGATCATGATGCCGACTTATCGGATCCTGGTGCTGCCAGCGATTCGGGGCCAGATGGCGACGGCGGGCCAGGGGGGGCACCGCCGCCCCCCGAGCCCTCGCCGCCTCCGCGCCCCAGCGACTCGAGCGAGAGTGGGTCAAGCTCGAGTTCTTCGGAGAGCTCCAGCGGGAGCGGCGATCCTTTGAATTCCAGTGGGGGGTCCGACCAGGACTCCGCTAAGTCCCCAGGCGGCCGGTCTAGCGATTCGGCTTCTAGCGTTGCGAGTGTCTTGCATGCGCTCGGCGGCGGCAGGGGTGGACCATTGGGGCCTCGGTCCAAGCCTGCCGCGCCAGCTTCTTGCAGGGTCAGCGTCCCTGGCGGGGACATCGTTTATTACGCCACGAGTTTGCGGTTCGTGGCCGTCTGCAAGAGAGACGGACACGGGCCGTGCGATAAGTTCAGGAAGTCCACAGAGTCTGCGCGGTTTGTTGCCCAGGGTCGGCCTTTGGGATATTTGATGTGGTGGCTAGCTCAGGACCCGAAGGATTGCAAGCATTCTAAAATTCGGAACCCGTCGTATCTTGAGAGGGTTCAAGCTAGGGAGGATTTGGAAAAAAAAATCCCACTGTCGCAGGGCTTGTTTGACGCCGAGAGGGGGCAATTCGACGGGGAGGGCGAGGGGCCTCTTAAGTGTCCGTGATCAGAAACGATGGTGGCATGACGTCGCATTCTCTTCATCGTCTTCTCCTCTGCTACCCAGGCTCCCTCGTCCTTCGGCTGCGCCTTTCTCGTCGCAGACCCAATCCCTTCATCCATCGTCACTCCCCTCCTATGTCCTTCCCCTCCCAACCATGAACGCGAGCGCCTTCGCATGTAGGGTGCGATCTGCAAGGGTACCTGTTCCACGTATCCAGGATAGGGTTGGCCTCGGCGAGAGTAGTTTCCCACGTACCCTAGGATGCTCTCGCGATGGGGGGGGTATTCCACCACGTACTTTCCCACGTAGTTTCCCACGTACTTTCCCACGTAGTTTCGCTCGAGAGGCACGTACTTTTTGACTCCCCCACGTAGTTTCCCACGTAGTTTTCGGACCCCTCGGCCCACGTAGTTCCCCACGTAGTTTGCTGGTGCCGAGAGTACTTTGCCACGGCGACCTTCCTATTTTCGGATTCTGGAGGGTACTTGCGGAGTCGAGGAGCTCTACTGTCGGCCTGGGGGGAGAAGAGGCGGGGGGATGAGCGCGAGGGGTTCAGGGGGTGCAGGTTGAGATAGGGCAGGGATGGGGGGATCAGACTGCAGACTTCTGCCCCAGAAGCGCTCTTCCAAGAAACGCCACTTTCAAGCAGGGTCGGTCCTGGGAGGGCGGCAGGAGTCGCGCGCGTGTATGCTGGTGCTTTATGTTCGCCTTCCCCTGGCGTTGATTGGTTCCAAGATAGCAAGCCAAAGCAGTTGGGCGTCGGACGGGCCGTTAGAGACAAGTTGTTTCAAACAAGCACGCTGGCTAGACATCGGGGAGTTCTGACTTAAGATAGCTCTTGCCACCCACCTCCCCCCCTTCGTTTTGAACAGTAGCGTCGGGGGCGCATGTGTCGTCGATTGGGGGGCAGCGACGCGAGCTTATCATGTGGGGGGCTACCGAGGAGGGGGTTTGTTTGATCGCGCTGGGCGTTCAGAAGCTTACGATGGTCGTCTTGGAGCCGTCAGGGGTCGTCTTGGCCCCGCCTGAGTCGGGCGCATTGTTGCAAGCTTCTCAGGGTCGTGCTTTCAGTACTGTAGCCATTTAGGCTGTCCAGGTTTCCAGCTTCTTGCGCAGTCTCGATCCCAGCGGCGGCCACCATGGTCAAACGCAGCCCAGAGGATCATGCCCAGGAGCCCGCGAGGAAAAAGGCTTTCGTCAAGGGCAAGTGCGCCAAGTGTAACAATGCTTGGAAGAAGGAGGACGGCCAGGGTCCCACCGACAGAATTCTTTCGCACTTCATCTTGTTTTTTTCCTTCCTGTATTTCCAGCATATTCAAACAGCAAACAGGATCACCCAAACCACCCCTTTCGGGCGATCCAGTTGGGGTGCGCAGCGGGCGGGCGGGCGGTCGCGGCCGCTAGCGCCGATCAGTTCCGTCCGCCCGCCCTGCCGCTGCCTCCGCCTGGATCAGCGGGGACCCCGCGACCACGAGGGGCCCCATGTGCTCTCGGAGATGTCCAGAAATCCCAGCCGACACTTGGACCAACAATCCCAGCCGACACTTGGACCAAAAATCACGGCCCGCCCTCCGCGGCGGCCGCTTCCAATTAGGGGGGGGGGGGGGGAGTGGAAGTCAGGGGATGGGCCGATGTTTTTACAGCGTGCATCGGCTCACCCAGAGGAAGATCCCGACCACGACCAGTGGTTCGAGTATGCAGTCGTGAAGGGCGAGAAGGTCGGCATCGGCTACGCCTGCATGCGCCACGGGACGATCTGGCAGGAGTGCTTCTCGCTGGAGGGTAGCGCCAATGAGGTGCTGAGGAGGGCCAGGGACGACGCAGAGTTCGGCAACCTCTTCGACAATTGCGAGAAGGCGATGCAGGGCTCAATGAGCATGCCATCCTCCCTTTCCGAAGTTTCTTGCAACGAGGGGCTGGTGTTGCGGGTTATCAAGCCGTGCGTTGGATACACCAGGTAGGGCTTCATCAGCGCCAAGAAGCTCACCCCTGAGGCATGCGGTCTGCAGACCCAGCTGCTCCCGAAGATCAACGGTGATAACTACAGAGGGTACCTACTGCTCGATGGAGATGAGGAGAACTCCACCAAGTATGAGCTAGTCAGGGAAATCAAGATCGACAAGTCGACGTTCCACCTGAAGCTTGATGCTTGCTACCATGAGAAGCTTCCAGATATGGTGTTCAATGCCCTTCTCAAGCATACCGAGGCCAACAGCCCCGTCTGGGCCAAGATTCGGACCGCGACCTGCACGCAGGAGCAGATTGCCCAGAAGGCCATCTGATCTTGGGCCCGTCTGCGGTTGTCGAGGAAGGAGGGAGTCGGATGAGCTGAAGTCGGAGGGTTTAGGGGAAGGAGGAGGGAATGGATGGGTTGATGGCGACGCACTGGACGATGCCTCCTCTACTGTGTCCGTCTTGCCTCCCGCAGGCCCAGCAGCTACTTGGGCGTTCGCCGACCTCGGGTACGCCATCGGGCTCTGCTGCTGCGTCCTCTGGTGGCACGAGCGGGTCCTCGGCTTCAGGCGCGTGCTCGGGCCACGGCGAGGGGTTGGAGGGCGGGGGCGATTCGCGCCCCAGCCGCGGGTCGAGCAGGTCCGACGTCGCAGTGAAGCTTGAGAATGGTCTGCGCCCCGCGCGCGACGCCTCCTCGCAGCAGCTTCAGGATGATGATGATGCTGAGAGCATCCTCTTGTCTCAGGAGGACGGGCTTGATGACTTGACGACGCCAAAGAACCAGAGTATAACCAAGGGCTCGGCTACGCCTGCCCAGGCTACCTTGAACACCAGGGGCGTGCCTGCGAGGAGCAAGGGCGAGAAGACTCAGCTCGCCGAGGGGGAAGTCGAGTCTCCGATGGACGTCGTGAAGCGGAAGAAGGAGGCCACGCCCATTGCAGAGGCCCTCTTGGGCAAAAATCTGAACCGCCAGCTGCGTTGGGCAAGGGTCGACAGGGACAACCTCGCCAGAGATCAGCACACGGCCGCGTCGAACGAGCTGTCTTCTCACATCAATGCTGTCGAAGCTGCCTATTGGATTGGAACTTCCGAGCTGAAGGCCGAGGAGATGAGCGACGTCGTCGATAGGCTAGACAGGTTGGGCCCCTACATGTACCAGTTGCCTATCGGGAAGAAACGGCACCTGATGGAGAGGAGGATCTGCACGGTGGTAGCAGGAGTTGTCCAGGGCAAGCACGCGGATGAGTTCTTCGACGTGGTCAGGCCGTGGTCCGCCGAGGGAGAGGAGGCAGACTCGTCGCCGTTCGACCCGAAGAACCCCGTGCTTCGAAAGCTGGAGGTTCAGCCCCCGCTCTCGCGTCGAGCTCTTCGAGGACGCGGTCTGCGTCGCGATGACGGACGTTGTCAAGCTTGGCGAGCCTGGCGAGGTGATCTTGGGCCGCCTATGCCAGACCCTCGGGGAACTATTTGGCGAGAGGGGGCCTGCAGGGGACTGCGCGGAGTACGATGCGTCTGTCGAGATCGTCAACAAGGTCTGCATGGCTGTCTGCGCCATGCTCTTCCCCGAGAAGGTAAACCTCGCCAAGTTCTTCAAGGAGGTGTACGACAAGGCCCACGAAAAGAACGCATCGACCTCCGCACCCTTGGCATATTCACTCGTTGCTGAGCTGAAGGCCCAGGCTTTCTGGAATGATCGCGTGAAGCAGTTCGCCAACTCCTACCGCAACATCGTCGACTTGATGTCAGAGATGGCAGCTATCATGGAGGATTGCGCAGGCATGAACTACTTCAAGGAAGAGCTTGCGTGCATTAAGGATTTCAACTACATGAAGAAGGCTTTCGACTTGGGTGAGAGATTGCGCGACCATGCGGTGCCAGGGTCATACGCTCCTTTCCTTGTGAAGCTCGGGGGTTCCATGAGGGCCATCTCGAACAACCACGCTGCTCCTGGGGACCCCTTCACGTCGAAGGTACAGGAGCTGCTACATCGCGCCAACTCGGTGATCCCCAGCGTCGCGAACTGGACCGACATGAGCAACGCCATTGAGAAACGGGAGAAGGAGCAGTCGGTCAAGGAGCAGGTGACAGCTTTCACCAAGACCGTCTCTGAATTGCAGTCTAGCGTCGGCGAGTCGGCGAACGTGGACATCCCCCTAGTGAAGCAGGTGTTCTCGCAGGTACAGAGGCTGAGCACCACCGACCACGCCACGAGTGATGCAGTCAAGGCAGCCGCCGAGAAGGCGTTCGATGCCCTCGTCGCGCTCGGCATCAAGGAGGTCACCGGCACGACGCTTGGGATAGTGACTCCTGTGCTGGAGGTTCTCTTGGTGCCGATGGGGGATGGCTCCGACAAGATCCCGTTGTTCAAGTGCTTCCAGGCTGTCCTGCAAGCCAGCGAGGCCCACCACGACTGGCTCCAGACTGCGCCTGCGACCGAGGGGGTCGACACCGCGGATGCCGACTTCGACAAGCTGAAAACGTTTGTGTTCAGCGTGCAGTTTGCGCGCGACGCCTCGGCCTTGCTCGGCGAGCAGAAGGTCCCGATCTTGTCCGAAATCATTGACCAGTGGGCCGCAAGGACAACGGTTGAAATCGGTATTTTTTAGCTGGTTGCCCTGGGTCGAAGGGGGCTCACGGGGGGATGGGCGAGGGTTTCCTGCAGTCGTCTTTCTGGGGGTGGCGCCTAACATCCCAAACCAATCAGAAGTTTGTAAACGCCCCAGCGCTCGTTTTGAATTTTTTGCCGTCCTCTTCGGCATCATCATCCTTCTCTTCGTCCTCCTCCTCCTCCTTGCCCCTTTCTCCTTCCTCCCGCCTGCCTCCTCCCTGCTCTTAGTTCATTATCAAATGTCCCTCTCCCTCCTCCTCCCGCCCTCCACCTTCTCCTCGCCCTCCCTCCTCCTCCATGTCCTCCCCCCTCTCCCTGCGTCCAGGCCATCGGGTAACGTGGGCGTGGCGCGCGTTGCGGGTGGGCGCCCTTAATCCCCACTCCCTCGCCTACTCGGTCGGCCTTCAGCCAACCCCAGAGGGACGGGAGAAGGATGAGAAGGATGAGGAGGTGGAGGAGGGGGGTGGGAGAGGGGGAGGAGAAGGAGGAGTAGGGGAAAGATGTGGGAGCTGGGGGGGAGGAAGAGGTGGGCGAGCAAGGGGGGGAGGGGCAGGTGGGGGGGGCAGGGGGAGGCGAACGAGGGCGCGGGCGAGGAGGAGGACGAGCAGGGACTGGGGGAGCCCGCCCCGAGGATTGGCGAGGTCAAGCACGAAAGGCTTGCCATGGCGCGTCGTGCCGTGGACGCGGCCCTGGGGCTGCTGGAAGAGGTTTCGGCAGGAGGACCCAAGGGCGGCGCCTGGTTCGACAAAACCAAAAAGTACAAGAGTTTCGGCGAGGTTGTGAAAGTCGCCCAGAAAACTCTCATGAATGCGGACGGCGAGATGATCAAACATCGTCGTGATACAGCCCTCGCCAGCGTAAAGACTTTGAAGTGTTACTCTGATATGTTCGGGGGGCCCCTTTCGGATGGCCTCTCGACACGCGTCGATCAATCGGTCTTGCTGGCCGCGGCTTCTGAGATCAGTGCCATCATTGTCGGCCTGCACTGCAAACGCGAATCAGAGCCCATCAAACTGAAACAGCAGATGCGCAAACAAGTGAAGGCGATCCTGGCCAACAAGGGCGTGCACAAGCACATGCCCGCGAAACTGGTCAGCCACATTTTTGATCTGGCGGGTGAACAACTGCCCGCCGACGAGTCGGCCTAGTAGGTAGCTACACACTGCGCCTCATACGCATCAGACTCTTTCTTGTTTTGTTGGCCGACGCGCCCCGAGCTGCATCCCAGGGAGCCCCCGTCTTTTCCCCACCCACCTCGCGCCACTCAAGAGCCCCAGAGTTTTCCTTCGTCTCCAGCAGCATTGGGCCGTCGGTTGATTCGCAAGGGGCCGTCGCGGGTTGGCGGCTCGATTCAATCGAGGTGCGTTGTCGAGGCGAGTCCATCGGGCGAGCAAACCTGAGACGGACCGAAAGACTAGGATAGTGAGAGAGCGAGGAAACATTGTCCCACCTTTGTCACCACCGTCGTTGGGCCCACCACACACGCAGCACGCCCGTGCACCGTGGCCCGCGCGTTGCTCATCGCTTCCTGCGACGGTGAGGGCGACGAAGATGTCGGTGGCGGCTTTCATGATTCCCCCGTGTCTGGCGCATCGTGCTTCCCCTCGTTGGTCTTCGTTCTCATCCTCATGATCCCCAGTGTCCTCAGCATCATCCTCCGTCTCGTCATCCTCGGCTGCTGCGCATTAGCTTGTATGATTCCACCCTCTCCTCTTCCTCCTCCTCTTGCTGACTCTGGTCGTCCCTCCCTTTCCTGGCGTTCCACCTCTTTGTGATCTCTCGCCGCCGCGCTAGCTGAGGCTTGAACTACTTGTGCAGCGCGTGCTTGGGCCTTGAATGGGCCCTGGCGCGTCGATGCGGGCCCTCCTCCGCCTTGTGAGTCTCTCCTTGCCCGTCGTCCGTCGGGTCGTCGCTGCACTGGGTTCGCCTCGAAACCATTGGAGGCGTTAGCTTGGGCCTCTCTAGAGGGCTCTGGCGCGCCGTTGCGCTGTCGGCCCGAATGTCATCCTCGTCATCCTCGCAACCACTGCCGCTATCAGTGTCAGTGGCAACATCATCATAAATTACATCGTTGCTCCAGGAAGGCAAATCACGTGTAGATCAGCGTTGATCGCGCAGTCCGTCATCCTACAATCGTGGCACATCATCCAAGGCGGACGGTCTGCGCGATCCCAGCGGCATGCTTTACCACGTGCTTCGGAGCGTAGTTGGCCTGGTGCCACGCCAGAAGGCATCGCACGTGGTTTGAACGTAGTTCCTCCTTTTCTCAGGATCTGGCCTCTAGGCGGCCAACGAAGTCGCAAACCAAGAGGGCCAGCGACCGCGCCCAAGGCGAGCTGTGTTCGTCGATGACGATCGTCTTCCCTCCCCTTCGATTGAGCGTGGCCGCGTGCTCCCCTCTATTCCCGAATTTCCGACGCTAGGTTCACCTGATATTGATTAACGGACAGCGCTACCGACGGATGCCCGAACCAAACAGAAAGAAACCATAAGCCGACAAAGAAGCGGGCATAAAGCCACACCAGATACCCAAGGTAGTCGAAGAAGGCAACGACGACTGCGGTGATGACCCCAAAGGTCTCTGGTTGAGTGCGTACTGCACCGACGCCCCCCTTGATTCCGACGCGGAAAGCGGTGATAAGGGGAAACCTTCATCACATTACCTGCGGTGCTACCTAATGGAACATGCGCAAATGCATTCTCCATGATCCCAGCGTCA